ATTAAATTGGTGCAAGAGTTGTAGGTTATAATGCCCACTGAGCCAATGAGGCCAAACTCAAGGAAGACCAACCAAAATTAATGAAATATTCAGTTGCAGAAAATTCCATAATTTGTCTTTTTTGGGGGGTTGGAATATGTTCAAAAGCTAGATTTCTGCATTCTGTCACACACACACACAGCTACATAAATGGTTAAGTGCATTCATGTGTTGAATAAACAAAGATTACATGTTAATGTTTTGTTAGTACCCTTATTTCATTGTGTTACATTTCACCCCAGGATATGTTACAACTAACCCAGACTATGGGGTTAATTGTAACATTTCACTCTTTGTGTTTGAGGCCATACCATGCAATGGGTAATTGTGCTGCAGAGAAAATAGCTGCACTATTTAATAGCCGAGACATGTAAATACTTTGCATTACATTTTGAATCCACTACCTTAAAAGAGCTCCAATTTACAGACAGAAATGTCAAAAATGTTACAACTATCCCCGGTCTCCCCTAATCGTGATAATATGTATTTGTATGTTTGTAATGTTGTGGCGTATAGGTAACCATGGTTCCTGTCCGTTATGTACTGCCAACTTCCACATTTATTGACTCTTTGTGTTTTGACAGCTGACTCAGTCGCACAGTCTGACAGCTCACGAGCCCAGCTGATCTCTCTCGGCCGCTCCTCCCCGTCTCACTATAAACACAGCGGAGGGAGACCATCATCAGTACATGAACACCATCAGCTGTTCTTACCAGCCTCGCAGCGCCGCCCCGTTGAGCCTTCTGCTCCACTCCTCCCCTGCAGCTGCGCCGGGGCCACGCCTCCGCCACAGGTCCATAGCCTCAGGTCTGCTGCACAGATGTTAGTTACTAAACCAAAATGGTCAATAAACTTGATGTGTTTAAATATTTCACGACATTTTCTTTTTTTCTTCTTTTTTAAGTGATACAGCTGATATTAGTCTGATGGACTGGTTTGGAGTACCCTGCTGCTTTCCCTGGGACATTCCTGTGTTCTCATTGCCTATATTTTAGAGTTTTAGACTACTGAGAGTATTATGTAGTTGACTTTTACTGGTTATTTACTTACAGTCTCTGTCATATTCTCTTGGGTATTGTGCAAAAGTCTCAAGCCCCTCATTTTTTATATTTTGCTTTCAAGGAAGAAAAATAATTTTGAGTAACAGCTCTCCAGGCTGTCAAAGGTTTTTCTTTGGATATTTGCCACTTTTTTTATCCCACACAAAAAGAAATTGTAATATAAAAGTATTGTACTGTGTATTTTACAGTTTTGTACTGTTTTTCTAGAATGTCATTGAATTTGCATAAATAGACTGTGATTTCACATTTCAAATGTAAAATAACATAAAATCACTGTAAATGTAATAAAACATAATTTTCTTGTTTTTTAAATATATTTTTTTTATAGGTAATTTCATTGTGTAATCACATTAAAATGTTCCAAATTTAATGTTTAAAAGCACTTGAAAAAGGCAAAATCACATGTAAAATTAGGGCAACAAACTGTATTGTCATTACTGAAAATAACCGTATTTTTGTGAGAAAGTTATTTTCAGTTATTTTCTAGTATTATTTTGGCGCCCCAGCTGCTGGAATATTACTGTTTTTTTTAGGATTTTATTTTTTTTAACAGTGCACTTATTCCCAGTTCAGTCTTTGTACTTGACCCTTTCTTTTCTCTTTTGTAAAACCACTCAAAAAGGCCTGTAACTCAAGGGATGAACCACTATAATGAGACAATTAATAAATTAAAACAACAACAACAAATCTTTATGCAAACATTGCAAGCATCAAAGTGGAAGGGCTGGAAAAAGTATGTAATGAGTCATATCACAAATTAAGTACCTCCTATGACCAGTTTTAATTCACTTTTCATATAAATAAATACAAACATGTATATAAATATGTAACTGTAAGTAATGGCTCACCTGCAGTACCTCCGTGGCCCAGCAGGAGGGCCCCAGCCCACACTTTGGGAATCAGTCATACACCTAACGTAGGCGTAGGGTCACCATTGGTTTTGACATCAGCTTCTACATATAAAATATATAGTGTGCAAGGATTTAGGTGTTCCAAAAAGCTACATATATGTCAATAATCCTGGCATGCTAGACTGTTTAGCAAATTTCATCCAGATTGATTTACTCATCTTGGGAGGACTTGGGCAAAATAAATATATACATTTGCTACGATTATCACTTTAAAATCCTGTATAAAATGTGTTGAGTGCAAAGGCTTGGACTCAAATGCAGTACACTGGAGAAATAAAGCCAATTTTTAACATTTATAGCACTGCTATTAAACCAACAGCACCAACCTTTGACCTGAGAGGGAAAAAGGTGTAACTACTGTAGTGTAATACACACCAAACCCCAGCAGATAGAGCTGTTACTCAAAAGTAGATGGGCCAGTTTAAGGATAGCCATGGAAGTCCGAATGGCTTTTTCGCAGTGTCAGGAAACACTTCAGTCTTTTATGGCTCTCCTGTTAAACAATGACGAGAGTTGTAAAGACATATTTCCCAATAAATGGATCTTAAACGCAGCTCTGTCATTCTTCTTTCATCAGATTTGCATTACAGTACCAACACTTTCATCGAGGAAGCTCAAACGATGTATGCAAACTAACTTTTTGTCTTTTGTTTTGTCCCTCATTTAAAGCCGCTTTACACCATTTGCAAGCAAATCTTGTTTGTATCTTCATTTGACTTCATTCAGTTTGGTGTGTTGGATGGTGATCGCCTACGCATCTCAGGCCAGTTTAACGCAATACTTGTCACAACGCAGCTTGATAATCTATTATTAGAGTCACGTGTGACTGGACTCATTGTTTTTATCCCCAAGGGGAAAGCGTGTTGTCTTGCCTTCGTGCCATAAAAGTGCTTGTTTTTAAGCCCACTGAGTCATGAGTCAGAGAAGTTAAAACTGAAAAAAGTCAGGTATAGTCAGCTTTAATTGTCTCACCGTCTCAACATTTTGATGACCTTAATCTTTGAAGTTATTTTATAACACAGCACTTAAAAGAAAGACAACACCTTACAGTAAAAATACAAAGAAAGGATCTGCTGTTCTCCCAGACGTTAGGTATAGCTCTTGTTTTGACCCATATTTAGCTGGACTATGATTCACTGCACTTAGAGCTATCAGATAACAAGGAATTAACGTGCATATGCTGGAAAAGCTGTAATTTCTTCTCCTTCCCAGTATTAACATTAGCAGGAAGTTTGCCTCAACAAGTCTCTTTCTTTATTCTCTAGCTCTGACTCCTCTGTGAAACATGCATGTTCTGATCTAACTGAGTTGTTATGAAACTCTGTAAGAACTAGAAGGTGAGTACATCCTCAGGGGAAAAAGCTATCATGTCACTTTTGATTCACTGCACCGAGTTAGAGCATTATAGGAGTTTTGAGGCCTGAAAAGTGTGTAGGCGTAATAGATTCTATGCAAAAACATGTGTAATTCATGCTTTGAAACTTAAAATAAATAAATAAAATTTAACAGATGATCAAAATTAAAATGTAAAGACAGTGATTGAGGTAAGGCGTGTAGTGACAACATCATAGTAGTTGCCCTCAGCAATACAGAAATTCAGCTAATTTGAGGACTCAATAGCAGATAAGCAGACATCCATTTGTCACAGGACTAGAATAATGTGCAATGTGTAAATGATTTAATATGCCAGCACATCCTTTCAGACAACTGGAAGATAAATAAATGACTAAGATAAAAATGGCAGTGTACGTGAGTGGAGCTTCCAAGTTCATTTTTATTCTGAGAACTGTGCCCAAATAAGGGAAAGCAACGCTGACCCAAGAGGAAGCCTATTTCATGCACTCAGGAGTGAAATATGAGGAGTTATTATTACAAAACATAATTATAGTGAAAGTATTTAAGAGGTCAGTCAGATGTTAAGAACAAGCTCTTCCCATAGTCCTCAAACTGCTTTACCTTTTCTAATATTAATACCCAGTCAGTAAAAGGGGACTGCTGCAACCACAGTAAAGGGGTTTCCTCTAGAAACTTCTTTTTTCAGAAATACACAATAGGAATTGAAGAAATTATGCAAAAAAAAAAAAGGGATGTGAAATTTTGCACCTTTCCAGTAAATCCTGTCACAGCATGTGGACTTTGGCGTGTGGGTGAGAGGATTGGTGACTGGGTTTCAGTACCATTTCCACATAATTCCAGCTCACTATAGTGTGACAGGTAAGTAGAAAGGTCCCAAAGAAGTTTTGTACAGTGAGGACATGGACTGTTTCAAAAAAAATCACATCTTGGAAAGTGCTGCTGAAGAGGAAAACCACTACTGGTTCTCATTCAGAGAGCCCCGCCTCCCACACAAAACAGCTGGAGCCCTTTAGTTCGCGCTACATGTTGGATATCATCACATCCAGGACACATCAAACCAGAGAACCTCAACATTCAACTACATCAAGCCCACATCTGAGTTTATCACTTAGCCCCACCTGGAAAAGAAAAAAAAGGGAAAAGATTAGAGAGTACAAGAAGAGGCACAGATTACAGGGACAGCAGAAAGAAGAAAGTGTCCACACCTGGCCAGTAAAATGATCCTGTGGGTTGGCTTGCTCCTGGTCCACTGCTGCTTGTGTCTGACTGGAGCTGGAGGAGAAAGCCCAGGACTGGAGACATGTATGAGGTGCTCTCAGGTAAAAGAATCAACAAGGATAAAATCACATTATCAGCTTATATTATTGTGTTCTATATTAACTTCTGATATTAGTCACTGCTGCTGATGAACTTGTGTAATAATACTTCTTAATATGCCAATTTGGCTGTTTTTAGTGAGTGAAAATAACAGAAATATACAGATGTTTATAATGAGTCCTGTACTCTTACAGCTGTGGTCATTACTGGGGCTGTGATCAAACTTAAATCTGATTTGTGATGATCCAATTCTAATCTCAAAGGCTCTTCAGTTCACATAGAATGAAAACACACGACAGCCAGTTAATGACACTCTGATTCACCTACTGGGAGACAGTTTTACAAAGCTACATCCTGCAAAGCCTCTTCTGCTGAGCTTTTGTTAAAGGAGGTAGTGATACATGCTTTGGTAAATATATCTAATCATTTACTGGAGCCCAAGGAGGAAACAACTGCAAATGTATCTGGGTGGAGGGTGAATAGTCAACACAACATGTTTACTCTTTTTCAGTGACCTGAACTTTACAAGCTTCATTTTCCTTCTTTCTCCTCCCTTGTCTTGCATGTGTACAGTTAAGATAAAGCTCTTTATCATTTGCAGGTTTCTACATGTGTAAGCGCTTAATAGTGTAACTCAGCACCTCGCTGTAGCAAGAAAACAATCGGTGACAGTCGGTTAAAATTCTGAAAGATGAATTCGAGATGTGTTTACAGTCAAAACATCATCAGGTTCTGTGAGGTATCTCACGGGTGGTAGATCAATGGAATTAAAAGATTTCATTTCTTAAAAAAACAATCCAACAAAAAATTCTTGGAACTATTGTTGGTTACAAATCACATTCCCCACAACATAAAAATGAAGGCACTGTTTATTCTGGCACAAGGATTTATGAAATATGTTTCATATACTTGACTGGTGAACGAGGATGCATTCCTTCAAGACCACAGTGAATCACATTCCTTCATTATTATTATTATTATTATTATTATTATTATTATTACTATTTATATTAACCAAAGACAACTGTGTTACAGTGCTCCAGCTGTGGGGTTAAACACACACACACACACGCACGCACGCACGCACACACGCACACACACACACACACACAGGCAGAGTCTTACCTGAAAGGAGCAATGAGGATGTAAAAACTCATTGTTGTCTGGGAATCCCCTGTCCTGCAGAGCTGCTACCTTTGTTCTGTTAAGAGTAACTTTATTGATGAAACTCCTACACAGAATTCACAGAAAAGAGCCTGCCATGAATCACTCTGTGTTTTCTCCTTTTCTTTCTTTTTGCAGGGACTTCACTGCAAGACCAAAGGAGGCTGTGAGTATAGACTTGTTGCCACTTTACACCAGCAGTCATGCATCCCCATTGGGTGTTTACTTGCACAATAACTCAGCTAATATCAGCCGACGAACAGGAAAAACTGATAATGCCTGCATTTGTTGCCTTTATATTTTACTGCATTGTTGCCAAAGCAACTGCATTCAGCATTTAACATAGAATTCAAGGCTGGGTTCAAAAGGTCTGTAAAACAACACAAAGACCATGCCTCTGAACTAAAGTGAGAAACAGTAACCACATTCAAAGATCTTTAAATGAACCCCACCCATAGCATTAAAACGATTTTTTCCTCCCTCACATGCTAAATAAGACCTGATAAAATCACGATAAGCTTGAGAAGCAGTGCACTGCTGCTATCTGTAATCTCTGCACAAAATACTGAGTGTAAGTGTAAAATGCTAAAGAGAAATTCAAATGCTTTGTATAGCAGATGGCAAAGGTGGGAACGCTGCTGTGGTTTGTTCTCTACAGTGTTGGGAAGGTTACGTTTAAATGTATTCCACTACAGATTACAGAATACATGCCCCAAAATGTATTTTGTAATGTATTCCGTTACAATACTCAATGACAGTAACGCATTCGGAATACTTTGGATTACTTAATATATTAACAAGCTTTTTACAACTACATGAATGTGATTTATTACTATTACTGAAGGTTACTCGCCATACCAATACCGACCAGATTTTTAAATCTTAATATAAAATGAGTAACAGTAGGGTGGACATTAGGTCAGGCTGCAGTTTTTGCAGCGATCTCGTATAGTAAACTATTCCGCGCGTATATAAAACAGGTCCGCGGCTCTGAACCATAGTAAAGGGACCTCTGGCAAATACATCAGGTTCATGTCGGGCTCGTAGCCGAAAACTATCTTTTCTTTGTTGTCTGGGTCAACTTTGCGAGAGACAGAGAGAGGCGTTGAAAGGCTGCTTCAACGGAGGAAAACACGAACACAGTGTTCAGTCGAGTCTTAATTATTTACTTACAACTGGACTACCCTGCCCATGAGCCTACATTCTTTAGGGTTATGTCTGTAACACTCTGCCTATTGCTTTCATATTACATGATTTTTTGAATAACATTAAAAAAAATAATTCTTCACGTCATTATGCAAGTAGGGGTGTCACGGGCCGCGAGATTGAGACACAGGCAGTAGAGCGTCTTAATGCGTCTCTTGTTTGGGTTTCCGCCTGCGTGGAATTACCAAAAATAGAGAGGGGACAGTCTAACATATGAAATAGGAAAAGACCGCCATGTAATCCATTTATTTCAAAAAGTAACTGAATACCACCTTTTAAACGGTAACTGTAACGGAATACAGTTACTCATATTTTGTATCTTAAAATACGTAACGCAAGTACATGTATTCCGTTACTCCCCAACACTGGCTCTCTATAAGTAAGTAACAGCATACTTCAAAGATCCTTTTACCCACATTTGGTACACAAAATCCACACCTTCATTTTCCTCACAAATCGCACAGTGTAACTTTTTCGTTTTTTAAAAAATATTTCTCTGTCCCCGTTGCTGTGCAGATTCATTTCCACGTCCATGCGAGAACCCCGCCGAGAGTCTCAACACCTCCACCGTGTTCCACAACGTCAGCCTTTCCACGGTCATGAAGTGTGAGAGGATGCAGAAGTGCTCGCTGCGGCTCGGAATCAAAGCAGTGGTGCAAATCGCTGGTGCGTAAGTGTGATGGCTTAAAATAGATGGTCCCATATCTGTTTGTATAAAATGCATGTGCTCAAAAATGGCAACAGTTTTTACAGGGCAAGCAATGAATGAAAATCTGTTTGGGTGAACAGAGGTTTGCTTTGGCACAGGGTGTAGTCTTTGACTTCTCTCAGTCTTATAGCAATGCGAAATTACTGAACCACTGTCTCAGTGTGTCACCCTATTAGATTATTTAGTTTGGCCGCTTATTAAAAGCAGCTATTATAGTATTAAAATCCACTTACACTTGAGCTCCATGTTGCAGTGTTTAGTTTGGCACCAAATCATTTTCCATGTACAGTTTACCATCCAGGTTGCTTTTCCCACTTTTTCTTCCTTTATGTCCCACCTCCCAAAGCCCCTGTTATCCACTTATGCTATTGTACTATTTTTAGACAGTTTTCTGGATTTCTTGCTTTCAAAAGATAATCTCACTTTCAATCAAAGTGACTAATGCTGGCATTTCAACTATAACATTTCATTGTCTCAGTGTATCACCCTGTGTATGCACACTGTGTGTGGTCTTTTTCTGCGCTGGAGCACGATGCTTTGGCGCCAGAGGCAGTCAGCTTAAGTGGGTTTCCAAAGTGATTTATCTAAGTTCACATGAAAACATGCCCAGAAATCACATTACTCTAATCCCAGTAATGCTTTGATGCTTTTAGCGTACCTGCTTGTTTGATGTCTTGCGAGGAGTCAGTGGACGGCCGATGTCACACTAATCTCTACATGTTCAGTGTGGTGTCTTTGTCTTCTTCACTTAAAGCAGCCTACTTCCTGGTATGGGCTGTACATTTCAGATGTGACTGCTGTTAAAACAGTACACCGGAATTTCTTTTGATACTTGGAAGTAATTGGGAGGATTCGGCATTGTTAATTAATGCTTTCAGAATAAAGCCAAACTGTTTGTTAAACCACAAAATCTTCTTTCTGTTTTCACAGAAGACATAGGTGTGGTGAATCAGTATATCTTAAGGGAAACTTTGACAAAGAGGTGCTGAGTGACTGAAGTTATCGCCTGTAATTAATTAAGTTATACATAGAAGGACTTTTTAGTTGTTTTTGGAGGACAATCATTAACTAAACAGAGCCCATGCCTCTGTCCTAACACACTCATGCCAACAGATACATGGCACGTGATATTGTTTAATTTCCTCCATCTGACCAAGGTCATTATTCAGTTGTTTTCTTTTCTCCTTATTCAAAACGTCCTTAACAAGGAAGCGCCAAATGGAACTCTTGGGGTGTAGTCAACTCAACCTGAAAACTAATGATGTTAGAGATGATAATCACAGATGACACACCTTAAAGGCATTTGCTGAAGGAAGTCACATTTTATAAAATGCTACAAGCTTCCATGAAAAAACTTCTGCTTTTGCATGGTAAACATGCCAATTGACACTTCATGTTCCTGATAATGCTGACAACCCATACAGTCTGATAAGGTTTACACAGGAAGACACATTGTCAGACACATCCATCCGTGTGCACAGCGTAATACAGTAAACCTGGTAGATTTCCAGACTATCTGTCTTGGAATTGAGGAAACCCTTTGCTCAGAAAAAAAAAAGTACCTAAATAACTTCTTCCTGTATGGCACCTAAAACAGTGCCAACCTGCACCAAAATCAACCATTTAAAAACCTTTTGAATGGCTAACTGGCTGGTGCTGGTTACTGCTACAGCAACTTCAAAACATATTCTGGTTTATGTTTCCACAGACTCCATCCACGGCGTATCCTTTTGTATCACAACCGCAGGGAGGATGACGGGGTGCAGAACCTTTAGCTTCACAAGGGCATCAAGAGAAAGGATGTCTGGACTGCAGGTAAAATCCCTAGCACAACTGGCATCGCTGGGTGTTTGTGGGACATTAATTAATCCAGAGTGTTATGCTAGAGTGGCTTTTCTGTGAAATATGCTGTGTGTGCCTTCCTGCCCTCTTTTGTCTTTCCCTTCCCGCAAATCGGGGAGTTTGCTGATGAGGCAACTCTCGATGTCCTTCGGGTTCCTCTCGTCTTGCGGTCAGGAAAAATACATGACCTTTTTCCACACATCTGGGAGATCCCATTTGCTCTTAAAGGTCACTGGAAAACTGACTCATATGCCATCGTAACCTTCACAAAGGTTACGGAGCTCAAAAGCCTTCCCCAGCTGATGCCCACGATGGTGGAATCGGTGTGTCACATAAACTGTAAACAGAAAGATCATCAAGCATGATAATGTTTTGCGACATACCAAAATTTTGATTGCTGCCGGGTTTGTGGCGTGTCCTCTTTTCGCGTTTAGAGCCACACCCCACTTTGTAGATGATTTTGTAAAATGAAAACAGTGACAGAGGAAATAAACAGTTCAATGTGGTTAGCATCACCGTGCCTATGAATATTTCCATAGTCTAGCTGGCGTCTTCAGGTCTCTCATGAAGACACAACAGTGGTCCGGCCAGGCTAACTGGCTTTCCAACTGCTTCTGAAATGGATATGGTCATTTCAGCATATTTCTATACGGCGCAGCGTTTAACAGACATGTGACAGCTTGTGTGCTTTTACCTGCCTCTTTCCTGCAGGTTGAAATTGAGAACAACTGCACTGAAGTTTCTCCAAACCAACAAGTGCAAGTAACAGTGACAACAGTCCCAAGTTACTGTGGAATGACCTGGACCAGCACCTATCATACTCCAGGTAGGATTACATGCACTTTGTCCATGTGTTTGCATAATTATGCAAACACAGACTCAAGGGCATATGACTGTAACCATGGGTAACTAATAAACAGTGTTACACAACCAGCCCTGCCAAGTATTTCCTTGTAACTGGTAGAAAAAAACAGGAAACCTCGTAGTGCGTTCCACTGCTCTGCAATGAAGAATGTCAGTGATTCAAAGAGTGTAAATATCATAAGTGAGTACTGTGTAAAAACTACTCCCACATGCGTGATGACACGTGAATGACAGGAATTTATTTACGCATGAGTTGTTTCTTTTTTAAGTGCTTCACTTTTCTCAACAGGATGCAGTCATGAAGATTTTAGAAGACATGTTCCGGAGTGCATCAGTAAGTGTAAATATGCTCGGGATCTGCTTTCTCCTTACATGTTTTAGTTAATGCAGTGGAGTGAAATAAAATATCAAATATGCAGTATATATGCATTTTTAGGGCTTGTCCTCTTCTCCTCACCCCAAACCGGTTGCCCTTCTCTGAGCCTAGTTCTTCTGGAGATTTCTTCCTGTTAAAAGGGAGATTTTCCTTCCTGCTGTTGCCTCATAGAGGGTTGTTTGATTGTTGGGGTTTTCTCTGTGTTATTGTAGAGTCTTTACCTTACATTACAAAGCATCTTGAGGTGAATGCTGTTATGATATGTATATAAATATATATGTAATATGTATATAAATAAAATGTAACTGAATTATTCAACTGGACCTTTTTGTTTTAATTGTCGGACTGTTTCACGTCTCTTTCAGCTGGCAGACTGTCGTACAAAGTAAACCCAGACAAGAAGGAGCTGAGCGTAAATGTTTCAGACATGCTCAACGATCACAACTATCACCTCCGACTCTGCCGAAAGGATTTCATCTGCTCTGGCACAGGGGCTTATATGCTGGTGAGACTCTTATTGGAATAAATATGAATGGAATCAGTGCAATTATTTGTGTTCTTCAATAATATGAATATATATAAAGTGAGAGATGGGGTAATGTTCCATTATGTGACAGTTCAAGAAAAGCGTAACAGGTCTAAGCCACACTTGTGGACTTTCCTCCTCAAGTGAGTCATTGGGTTATTCCCTGTGTGATTCTAAATTTAAATGTACTCACTCAATAAACTGCTTAACGATCATATAACTGACAATCAGGACAGCGCAGTATTCCCTGAACAAAGGGGCAACTGAAACAGTAAGGATCAAAAGTCAAAATGTGCACAGTGTACACAAGAACCATCATTAACTGCCACCCAGACAGTCATTCCACAAATAATCAAAAGCTGTTCTCGTTTTCTAGATAAAGAAGGAGCAACCCATAAAGAGTGCCACCTTCCCATACTCTCGACCTTTGCCCTGCCTCTGCATTGAGGTAATGCTATGACTCACACTCCCGGTCTTTAATCACGGTTTCAGCTTCTGCCATAAATTCCACAAAAGACCTTCAATAATCACTGATAAATTCATCACAGGGCTGGTCAGCGGTGATGGACGCCCCAAGAGTCCAGGTCTGCCCGTTCAAAGACCGTGAGTCCCATTGTTCATTCAAACAGATGACAAAATTGCCAGCGTGTGCTGTAGCATTTGAAAGCTGACAATGTATCATAACCATCCAAAATCCTATGACTTCGTTCGCCTGCAGGTGTTGAGGAACTGTGGTTTGGAATCACCTTTGATCCACTGGAGGAGACTCTGTTATGGGAGCCTGCTTGCCCAATTACAGCTACGGCTGCATTGTGTCAGATGAGAGATGATGGCATCTGTGTGGATTTGCCACATTCCTCCCAGAATGTTACCAGAGAAAAGGTACACACCTTTTGGATATTTATAAAGGGAGCTTTCTTAAGCTTGGTTATCCTTACAAATCGCTTAAGTGTAATTAAGCCGATGCCCTTGTTAGGCAACATTGCACATGAGCACACACATACAAGCCAGAACTCTCACTCAGTTTACGAAGAGGCTTGACAGAGGTTTGAACAACCTGAAAGTCAGGTGCCTGGTTGTATCTGAGAGATGAGTCACAGAAAATGCAGAAAAAATGCAGACACGTCAGCTTGAAGTGAAAAATCATGACTGATCTGATTTCAGATGTAGCTTGTAGTTGCAGTTGTAACCTCTTTAAAAGGTGGAAGCCTCAAACGATCACATAAAAGTACATAAAAGTACAACATAAATGTTGAGCTGTGTTTCTTGTTTATATAAGTCAAGCCAGACCTACATATAAAGTATATCGGGAGAATGAAGGGAAACCCTAAAGGAGTCCTTATTTTGACACAAGACATTTAGGCTGAAGGGATACTTGGGAAGACTTAGGCAGATGCTTCACTTGAAAGACAAATATAGCTCTTTGAATCTAAACACAATATGAGTCACCCAGGCTAATGATTTAGGTCATCACTTGTGTAACTGCAATTCTTTATTTAGAAGAACTTGTGATTCATTCACAAATACTTCTTTAATGCTTTTTCAGATAGCATTCTCTAAGGTGGATCCCCATGATAGAGTGTGCGTCAAGGTAACAATCTTTCTTTTGCTCTTTTCATTCCACAAATTTCACTAGGGCATGTCAACTTGATACGCTAGCAACAGTGAAACAAACAAAACCGTTTTTTTTTTTGCTTTCTGTATTTGATTACAAAATGACCTTTGCACAACGTTAGCATAATGCAACTCAAATATCAGAACTGACCTGACAGTTCAGATGACTGAGATCATCTTGGTAGAGTGTGACATCTTTAAAAATGCTAAGATTGAGAAGATATATTTAATTTCTAGGTCAGTGTGTGACATTACTGCTGTAAGTTGGCTTATTAAGCTAGCTGACTCATTATGGAAATACTCTATGGCTATCCTAATAGCATGCTATGTGCCATGTTATGTTTTAATTTTATCAGGATTTTATCAAGTTCTTTCTTGTCACTTGGAAGTCATTTCGAAATCCGTAGTTATTTTGAGCCATTACCTAAACTAACGTATATTCTGATGGTCCCTGGTACTTAATGGCTGCACGTATAGAATTAACAACCAAATAGGCTTAAAAAGCTGGATAATGATACCATGATATCATCGTTTACTCTTCTGATGCCATGAGTTTGTCATTTTTGCTATCATTTTTAAAAAACAAAACCAATATGCCCACTGACATTCTCCGGCTCAGAAAGCTAGCGACAATCCAGGTCACAAACACTCAGACAAGGAGGCTCTAATTATCCATACCCTTCATTACAAAAGCAGGAAACTGCCTACAAGAAGCAATGCTGCTGGGTTGCAATTCTTACACATGCAAGTTTTTGCATTTGCACTAACTCAGTAATAAACAACATGTATTTATTTAATACTAGAGTTCTTGTTATTATTATATCAGCTTCCTGTTATTGGCTCAATAACAGGAAGTTGTGATCAAATCTGCATTTCAGAAGTGAGAGTTGCGTCCTAAACGCAAAGCAGAAGTATCATTATTAGACTGTTGAACTATTTTCTATGGGTGTGCAACAATGATTTTAGTAAGCTCTCTACTAACTAAGAGTAATGTGTTTGATACAACAGCTCGATGAAGAATGCTCAAAAATGTTATTCTGTCTTCATCAGTTTACTGCAGGCTCTCAGTCCTGGACCAGGTGCCCCTTTGCTGATGGGAGACTCCAAGGTGTGACTTATTATTTTCTTCAAATTTTTGCTAATTACATCATGAGTATTTTTTGCGATGCTCTGATGGTCTATGGCAATGTATTGACCCTACTGTGTTCACATGTTCTATAATGGATGTCTGTAATGATGATAATAATCTTTATGCATGGTCGTGCTGTATGATGATATCTTTAAAAATTCAGCATGGGAGTTGGTTACAACAAGAACAGAGGGGCATGAAGAAGTGAAGATGCTGTCACAGATCTCTGCAAACTTTTCTGTGGAGTTGTGCGTGAAGTCCGAGGGATCCCCTGAGTGTCAGACCATTGAAACACACAACGTGCAGGTGGTAGGTGCAACACATTCCCAGCGCAGACGGCACTTTTTAGAAAAATAGAAACATATCTTGTTGCAGATTTCTTCGACAGAGTTCTAGCTCATCATTAGATCTGATGAGTCTAAGTAAGAGTGGCAGAACAAATGTCTGTTCGCTCCCTGCATGCAATAAACTTTTGCCCTAAAACATCCTATGTGTGCAGTTTTTTTTTGAAGCAGCCTGCCACAGCACGCTTACACAGATTGTGTTCCAACTTTTTGTCGTACATGATCCCTGTTTATTGCATGTTGCCTTTTTCGTTGCTAGGAAACTTCACATTTTCTTGAAGGTGTCGTGACTTTTAAAAGTTATTTGCTATCAACAGAACAAAAAAGGTAGTAATTACATCTTTTACAATACGCTTTCCAGCAATCAAAAGGGATCTGTCAACAGATTAGCAAGACCTAGTGTGCAACAAGATATCTTTCTCCTGAACGCATCATGGTTATTATCACATCAAAGAAACAGGAAAAAACAGAAACCATGACAACTTCCATATCGCCTGCAGGAAAAATTTCATATCTTTTGTCTTTTTTCTCAGGAGAAACAAAAAGCTGTTGATTTAAACCTGAAAGGGGCGTCCTGCAACTCATGTCTTCAGGTATGTTTGTGTAGTAGATCCTTTGACTTCTTTGCACTTCCTATTTAAAAAAAGACTGTTGCTTTAATATATCATTTTTATTTGCACAGATAAAAAGGCTTGATGTGGAGTATGCTGCCACAGTCATCCACTGTCTGAAGCTGTGCAGTAAGTATGATTTCTGCTAGAGCTGCTTCCCATTAAAATACGTTCTGCTCTTCATTTCTGCTTCAGTCCTGTGTAGTCTAACCAAACTTTTCCTTTACTATTTTTCTCATAAAATTTTGTAAACCTTAGGCGATGCACCAGTTTTGAAATGTAAACAGTTTCCAGTACAGTAACACAGCTTGCGTTTATTGCCATGGGAATTCTGAGGTGGTATAATTGCAAATGCATGTGCATCTGAAGTTTGGTGTCTTGGCATCATTTTGAAAAATAAAAGGATGCTTTGTTGTGCATGCAATGCTTAATGATACTATTATGTTCAAGATGAAAGGTTCTGTGGAAAATAAGAAGTACCAGTTTTTCCTTTACATATAATTGGGGATTCAGTCATGTGAGAAAGTGCAGAGAGCAAGATGCAAACCAGATGGATCATCTAACAAACTGTAAATTTTCTTTGCAGGTGACTCATCACCTCTTCGTTCAGACTTGACCTGGGTATTTGTGCTGACTGGTGTTTGCCTCTTTGGAGTAATATGTGTCACTCTGGTGCTTCATGTCCTATTAACAGGTAGGTTGAAAAGTTATTTGGCTAGGTGTCAGGCTACCATTTTATTTTATTTGGGGACATACTGTGATGTAGGCCCTTTTCCAGTGCCTGCCCATCAAACTCAAAGATTTTGCAGCGTGCTCTGGCTTCGTGTTTGACTCTTTGCAAGGGAGTAAATGCTGAGTTTGCCTCAGTAAACTAGGCTGGTTAATAATGTCCTAATGTTAACACTCATTTCTAGCTTTTCCTTTCCATCTTAGATGTTTGATTATTCAAATTTGCCTTCCTCTCTTTATGGATGGATAGACAGCAGCATCCAATTGCAATCGGCCGACATTTGAATGAAAAGCAGCCACGGAGTTTGTCATTTTATTGATTTGCTTCCTCATCACATTTCCCCCGTCTTCTATTTTAGTGCATCGGAGAAGGAAGCAGAAAATAACCGGAGTCCGTAACGGTGAAAAGCAAATAGGTACGATTATGACTTCATTTGCTTAACCCATACCATACAGATTTTCTTTTCTTTTACCCGTGCGCATATCTTAGCATATTTCCTGTTTTGTTGCAGATCCCCCTCCCACCTGTCTGGTGTCTGTGTTACAAACTCAGCCGGTTGTCCACGGTGGGGTCTTCATACCTGATTCACCGCAGTGCGGAAACAACGAGAAGGCCAACTTACTCTCTGAATGACCAAAGTGTGAGGCATAAAGATGTTACAAAAGCAACTAAGTTCTCTGTTGAATTCAGTATATAATTGTAGGCACTGACATTTCAAACGGTATGTAGCTTTCTGCAGAGGTGCTGGTTTGTATGCTTGTTCTAGTTACTGGCTAATGTATTTTGTGTGGTTGTGTTTGTTTGGGAGAAAGTTGTTTTAAAGGTAAAATTTCATTTAATCTTGCAGCTACAAAGGTTTTTGTTTCAAAATGTTTATTTTCAATAAAAAAGGCAAAATACAAAATGCTGTTTTAATTATTGTTTAAATGCACCATTATTATATCATTTAACCCTATTTTTTCACAACATTGTTTTCGTCAAATCTAATATAATCGCAATACATTTGCATTAAAACACTTGCAGTCATTAACACCGACTTCACCTCAACACCAAAAGCTTACAAGCCTTATACTTTATTTTGCTGCTCCATATCTATTTATGTCCTTACAGTTTTATAAACACTTTGCTCTTTATGTTCAGCAGCTGTTTCCCAGTTTTCAGTGAAAGTTTCCATGTCACTGCTTGTGCACCTGCTCACATGAGCCAGAGCTGCTGATAGCTGTGTTTCCTTTTAACTTTAATCCAACTTCCTTCAGCGAGGAAAATTTCCATTCACCTAGAAAATATATTTTGATTCACTTGGAGTAAAAAAACAAATCATCAACACATTACCTGATGATGAGCATGTCAATTACTTTCTTATTAGATGTACTATAATTGCCATGTATATAAAAACCATAGATAAAACACCAATGCAACTTTTGAAATGCATCACTTTTTATGGCAGCCCACATTTTGTTGCTCTACAGCCAAAAACTGGTTCATCAATTACATTTTTAGCTCCAGGTACTTTTTCAGTCTGTCAAAACATGCAGGCTGTTGCACCATGTCATCTTGAATTGTAAGTAAGGTAATTAATATTTCCACATCAATGAATCTCGGCTGTGGTTAAAAACACAAATAAACAAAAAGGCCGAGTGATGTTTCTACATGGTAATGGAAAAGCACTGTTTCTGACATTTTAACGACATGCGCTCATTATTTTTCATATCTAGATAGCATGTTGCAGAAAGGCAAGTATAGACATCCTCTCACTCCCAACCAAATAGATTAAAAAATACCACTGTGACTCTGCGCTTTTATTCTTTTACATGCTATGGCAGCCTGAACATAAAGTATCAAAGGTAACAGAACTTATTCTATAGATAAATGTTCCTCATCAGTGTATATGGGTCAATGTTACTGTTATATAAAGTCATATGTTTGTATTGTGGTTGTCTGGTGAGTGCCGCAACTTTTTCACCTATTCAACCTGCCTGTTTTGCTAAACTGGACATTATAGGAGCTAATGCTTCCTCTTTAGGGCTTTATTTGATAATGTGCTAAAGAAGAGGAAATGTTTTCACACTGCGCCCTAACTCTTCCACATTATATATATTGGCTAAGATAAGCAAAAGGAAACATATCTGTTATATAATAATCAGTTCAATTCAATTTTATTTATGACACTAAATTGCAACAAAATTGGCTAGTAAATACCCTAAAATAATGCCAAGGCTTTTTTACTGGCTAATGCTAACTTTGTTTCCATACGCTTTCACTCTCAGCGCAGAAATCAGAGCCAGTGTCAGCTTGTCTGGCATGTTCGTCTCCCATCAGATTCCTGTTGAAGAACAGCCAGAAAATGCTAATGGCCTCTCATACACCCAAAACACTGGCCTTGTATAAGTGAAACTGGAGTCATTAGGAGTTAATTCTGGTTCTAGAGATAGCTGCGGTGACCAGATGGCATTATTGTAAATGATGGCTGCAAACAGTTTGAGAGCATGAGCTTAATGATACTATTATTTTCTTAAGGACATTACTTTCTTCTGTCCATTTTCCTCAGCATTTTTAAGGACAAATAATGCTGAGATATGCCAAGTTTTCAACTAATAGGAAAATCGCTGTTTGGAAAAATTTTATTTTAACCTGTCAAACCTGTTATGGTTGGCTTTTTTCCATTGAAGATTCAACTAAGTGAATAGAAACAGGTGATATGGTTTTGTAACAGGATGCTAGTAACAAAATACTCAAAGGATCCAATTTAAAATTAGTCCTTTGTTGTTGTTCATGCGTAGGCGCAACATTGATCGAGTTAGATGCTGTGTTTTTTCCTCCAGTCATTCATAGGTCAAAGTTAAGTGGCTTAAAAAAACAAAAAACACATTCCATTGAAAAGGAAGATACAAGGAAATGACAAGCAGCCAATGTAACAAGAAAAAAACGTTGCAAGACCTTCAGAAAACTATTGCTCAATATCCTTTTTCAAGTTTCTTTCTGTTGGGTCTGTCTGGCACAGACCCACCGCTGGAACGAGACAATTCTACTACAACGGCACAAAGCACTGGACACCAAGCAGAGCTCTTTGTTTGATCTCGTGCACGAGGGAGAGAACTGTGACCTGCTGGTACGAGGAGTCCTGTGGTCCACCTAAACAAAGGGCTCTTAAACTTACACAGATACAGAGTAGGTGTCCTCTCATCGTATAAATCAGTAAGAGAAGGTACGACCTCTCTCATGAGCTTAAGATGTGTGTGTATCCCAGAGTGCTCTGGGAGGCACACAGAGTCTTTGCAGACTGCTAAGGATTAGACCTCTATCATTATGCAATCGATTATAAAACTCTAAGAATATGAGTATATATTTCTAAGTATAAATGACAGTTCACAATTTAAACCTAACACTTTCTTGGCTTATGGTTGGAAACAAAATACAAAGAAAAGATTGGTGGGTCAAGAATTTTGTACAGTACTATAGTAGATTTAACAGACCTATCAAACACCCCCTTCCCAAAATCTCTACCTAAATGAACATAAAAACATAATGGAAAGGATTGCCTTTTGATTAAATTCCTTTATTTTAGCATTATGCAATCCTGTTATTCCAACTTAGTTAATCTACGTATTTACTGCAGTTGAGTCCAACTTAATTTAATTGAGTTGATCCAACATATCCAAATTACATTAGTCCTGCAAAAATACTTAATGCTAACAGAAAGTAATTTATCAAGGTGGAAATCCTGTCCATGATTATTTTAAGTTCAATAGAGTTATTCTCTATAGTGTTCAACATAGTCTAGAGCAGGGGTGCCCAATCCCGGTCCTCGAGAGCTACTGTCCTGCAGCTTTTAGATGCATCCTTGTTCCCACACACCCGAATCAAATGAATGGCTTGTTATCAGGCCTTTGCCAAACATGATGGCATGCTGAAGAGGTAATCAAACCATTTGATTCAGCTGTGTTGGAGTAGGGATGCATCTAAAAGCTGCAGGATAGTAGCTCTCGAGGACTGGGATTGGGCAGTTCTGGTCTAGAGTCTGGTTAACATAAAACTTGTCTCCTTATCAGGGTCATGGGGGCAGGGGAGGCTGGAGCCTATCCCAGCTGTCAAAGGGTGAAAGGCAGGATACACCCTGGACAGACAACCATTCACGCTCACGGGCAATTTAGAACCATTCATTAACCTAACTCCGTTAACTGCATTGGCCAGTGCTAACCACTATGTAGCTCTTTCTCTCAGATATGCCTGGATTCCCTAGCAATGTTATTGTCATACTACACTTTTAATTTATACTGGAATCAGTATAAATGATATGATAGTCCTTTTAGCCACAGCCTCGCATTCTTGTGTCACAAGGACCAGAATGTGCTTCTGTTAACATGTGAGCCTTGGTAAAAGTTAGCCAACTGAATGTTTTGTTTACTTAACAAGTCTGAGGCCGGGGCTTGTTTTTGTCAGAAAACACCCAACCTTGACTGCTATAGTTGTTCATAGTACAGGCTTCTATAGTATTAATGGTGTGTATATACGAATGGCAACAAGCATTAATAAAGCATTAATAAAGAACATTAACATTAGCTCTCTTTCAGCTTGTATAAGGCTTCTTAGATTTTAAGTAGAAGACGTCAGCATTACCTGTTTGTCTAAATCTTGGAAATTTCCTGTCTCCCTGCTAATGTCTGAGAAAAAGTGAACAACTTTGTCTTGTGTGATTACTGAAGTGAAACCTGGGGGAGGTGCCGTAGTGTGGGTCAACTTCACTGCTGATTTATTTCACATGCGAAGCAACCACAAGTTTAGGTGGTGACACATCATCCGTTCAGATTTGTGTTAGTGGGATCTTCCTTAGTTTTTCAGCTGGACAGTAACCCAGAACACATCTGTAATGTTATCTGACAGTGACGTAAACTCACACGGTGATTCATCAGCACTCCTGATCTCTCCCAGTGGTGCGAGCTATGCATATCTGACTCAAATAGTGTGGTAAGAGTTAGAAGGCAGACGGAAGAAAAAGTATAAGGAATGTGCTCATTCAGCTAGTTAAGACTTTCCCAGCTGCCTCAGCCTGGCTCTGTTGCAGCCTTATTCCTGTCAAAAGGGAGTTTTTCCTTCCCACTATTGCCTAGTGCTTGCTCATAGGGGATGATCCGATAGTTGGGATTTTCCATCTAATACTGCAGGGTCTTCACCTTGCAGTATAAAGCGCCTAAAGGCAACTGTTGCGGTTGTGATTTGGTGGTATCAAAATAAAATTGAAATGAAGGTAACATGAAATGAATTAGGATGGTATTCACTTGTAGGATGACACAGACACATTGCTCATGTCAGCAATTGTGATAAATATTATTGAAGCTGTTAACTAGGGACATTCTTCAAATTTTTTTTTGTATGTATCAGAAACCATTTAAAGAAAAGCTGTGGTTCCATCCCATATTTATAAAGCCATGGCAAAACTCTTCTAGGAGCACTTTGGCTTTTGTTTTAACAAGCTTGACTTCTGATTCTTAAAGATTGTCTGGAAAGCAGCCAAACATCCTGGACAGCTATGATAATAAAAAAGTTTCTGTTGTAGTGACACTTGTCTGTACTACCCAAATGTTTCTCGAACTTCCTTGTGATTTACATACGCAAATGACAAAACAGTACCAGTAACAGAACAGAGCCCTCTCTGTGCAATACTTACACCGAAAGTCATATACGATAGTCATATATCCATCCTGTGGAAACGATTAGACACACAAGGAACTTGGTTACATTAAAAGGCTACATGCACTAGTGTTTTCATTCAGATATACTGGGGCACATTTTCCTGTTAGATTAATATCAGGCAGTATGTAAGCATGCAAAATATTCGGCTGGTCGTACA